AAATTGCGCAAGCATGTCATTGTTTGTATAAAAGGGATAAGGACAAAATGTAACAAAAATCTTTAATGGATTTAATGGGCAACACATAGGCCTATTTTTTATTAATATAATTTAGGAAAATTAGTTCGAAAAATTCTTAAAAAATTAATTGATATTTGGTATAAAAATAAAGTAAAGTAATGATATTTTATCATAACAAACAAGATAGAGTAAAAAAAATTATTTTTAACAATAGTTATTAATCTTGGAACAGCTATAATTTGTACGGGTAACGGGTAGGAACTCTTTAAATTCTTGAAGATAGTCCTATCAGGGAAAATAAATCAATCCCTGCCCTCCGCAGATTTCGGGGGTTTTCTGACCCAGAAAGCTAGTATCTGTTTATGGTCCCTTGTCTAGGGTTACGGATGAAGTCTACAGCGGCAGCCACAGCGGAAAAGCAAAACTTCGGTATGGTGCGGATGGCGTAAGTAGCAACCCCCGATTTTTGGATTGATATAGAATCAAATCAAATACTGGCCAACGGCCGGCGGAGGAGCTGGTAGATGTAAGGGCATCTTTTGTCCTGAAATATAGAAATCTATCTCGAAGGCGGATGAACCAAGGAATGGGCAACGGCATGAGGATGCAGAAGGCAACGGGGAACCACTCCATTAAAGACTCGTAAAGTACTCCTAGAAATTGTCATGGCAGTTAGTGACAAGCATCATGGTTCTCTGATGCCAAGATGCGGCAGAGGGAGAAATAACAGAATAACAATAATGACATGGCTCCTCACGTCGTTAACCAACGAATTTCCTGTGTAATTACAGTACGCAAAATATACTAAATTTAACTTCTAAAATAACGACGGAATGTTAGAAGCATGTATGAGCCTGGTAAACTAAGGAACATAGAACAAAAATTATGTCATTTAAAATCCACATATTGGGAATAAGTGACACAAGACAGCTCGACTCCTGCGAACTAAGTACAACTAATGGTCGACTTTTCTACTCTAGCAGTACCGATAGCCAACATTGATATGAAGCAGCAACTAATGTCAGTAAAAAAGTTGCAAAATCCGTTGTAGGCTCTATACCAATATCGGAAAGAATTATGCTAATACAAATGATTACCACATATGGTAAATTAAACCTTATTCAAATTTATGTGCCAATCGCCGATAAAACAGAGGAAGAAATTAAAAAAAAATACGATGACCTTTAAAAAACCCTACAAAATCCAACATCTAGAGATATAAGAGTAGTCGTGGGTGATTTTAACGCCAATGTTGGGAAAGGAAGATGTAAATCTACCGTAGAACGATCGCCTTATAAAATTCTGCCAGAACATAATGAATACTTTCTTTAACTGCCTAAACGACGCCTTGGAAATTGCTAGTTAACAAGGTCGATAAAATCGTTAGAAATCAAATTGACTATATTCTAATACACCACAGATATCAAAACGCAATACAATCGGTGAAAGCGTACCCAGGTGCAGACGTGGCGTCGAACCACAATCCTCTTGTAGCAAAATTCCAACTTCACTTAAAAAGGATACAAAAAGCTACAAAAGTAATAAACTAAACATACAAAAATTAAAATCAGAAGACGTCAAAAAAAACTGAAACAAGAAATTAATGCAAACCTATAATCCACACCGGAATCAATTAATGGTGATGTAGAACAACAGTAGCAATTCTTTAAAAATGAAATTATCGAATCAAGTCGCAGAGAACTCACAACAATCAAATGCAAGACAAGAGAACGGATGACAGACAAAATCTGGGAAATGATGGAAGAAAGAAGAAGGCAAAAGAATATCAACATAACTCAGTATCAACAGCTGCATAATCAAATGAGAAGGAAAATAAGACAAGCTAAAAAGACTTATTTCGCTGGAAAATGCCAAGAAATAGAAGACTTACAAAATAAATATGATAACTTCAATCTCCATAAGAAATTTAAAGAATTAGCTGGGATAGCAAAACAAAAAACCTCAAGCATACTGTAGGACAAACAAGGAAACATTTTAGTTGAGACGGAATAAAAATTAGGAAGATGAAAAGAATATATGGAGGAATTATTCCATGACCAGAGATAGAAAAATATATATAAGGATAATCAGAGTAAAGACGAGGGATCCAAAATAACAAAGTCGGAAGTTATGCATGCAGTAAAGTCTATGAAAAATAATAAAGCTGCTCATCCAGATGAAATACCAAATGAATTGCTAAAACTGGTCAATGAAAAAAACATAGATCTTTTAGTCCAACTACTAAACATAATATATTCTACAGGAATCATTTCACGTGAAAACATCACATCAACATTTATTTGTTTTTTGATAATATACAAGGCAAATATCGAGCACAGTATTAATTTAATCTTGCCCAAGTACTTTCGATCACTAGATCATCTTCCGGGGCATCTAAAATAAGCCAAAAAACGTTTTTTTATAACTAAAGAAATTGATTAACTTCGATAAAAACTCGAAGCTTATGATTGATAAAAGTTTTTATGTGAATAACGTTTATAGACTTACTTCGTCAATTGCGGCCTATCGGACAAGGCGACTTCAGAGTCCGACCAATCCGAGTCCGACCAATCCGACAAGTCCGAAGTAATGGAGTTTGACAAGAGCTATGAGTCACTAATTAAATGGTATGTACACACTGTACTCTAATATGGAGCTGAATCATGGACATAATCCGTAATACAATAAATCGACTTAACGCGTTTGAAATGTGTACATACATTTAGAAGATTCAATATAAGGTTGAATGTTCGAATAATTAAACTTTGAGGGTATACAAGGCAACTATCGAACACGGTGATTAATTTAATCTTGCCCAAGTACTTTCAATCAATAGATCATCTTCAGGGGCATTTCGTCAATTGTGGACTATCCGACATAGTAGAATGTCATAAATTTAAAACTGGACATAACAATACAAAATACACTACACTAAGACAAACAAACACTTTAAAATTTATATGGCGAAGCTACATATTGTGAAGAAGCCGGAGACAGAATGGGCTCCCGGTCTGACGGAAATGTAGAGATAGCAAGTGAGAGACGGAAGTGTAGAGATAGGAAATGTAGCTTCGCCATATAAATTTTAAAGTGTTTGTTTGTCTTAGTGTAGTGTATTTTGTATTGTTATGTCCAGTTTTAAATTTATGACATTCTACTATGTCGGATAGTCCACAATTGACGAAATGCCCCTGAAGATGATCTATTGATTGAAAGTACTTGGGCAAGATTAAATTAATCACCGTGTTCGATAGTTGCCTTGTATACCCTCAAAATTTAGAAGATTGTTAAGGATTCCATGGGTAGCTAGAGTCTCGAATCACGAAACGTGTTAAGAAGAATAGGCAGAGAAATGGAAATGGAATATTCAATAAAAGAAAGGAAATTACAATATCTGGGATATGTAATAAGAGACGAAAGATACAACATCTTGAGACTCATAATTCAAGAAAAATAGAGGGTAGGAAAAGCGTAGGAAGATAAAGCGTTTCCTGGTCGAAGAACCTGAGAGAGTGGTTTGGTTACAGCTCAAGGAAATTGTTTAGAGCAGCTGCCTCGGAAGTCAGAGTAGCCATGACTATTGCCAACCTTCGTCATGGAGACGGCACTTAAAGAAAAATAAGCTATACTGTTTGATTCCGTCTTTATATGTGCATTTCGTAGCATTTTTTATCCATTCTGTGTTTAATATCATCTAATAACTAATACATTTTATTGCATTGTGTAAATAAAGCTAATTTTTTCAATTATTGTTAATGCATGTGTAGCCTAAAATTTATTTGTCTGCCACATGCAATTGATTTAAACTGTAACAATTATTTGTTTCATCATATTTGTAATAAGGCGTGGAATTTGACCTCCATGTTAGAGATTATAACGCTTCAAGTCATTACAAATCGGATTAGTGTCTATAAAACGGTCATTTTGAATTTAGTGGTTTTACTTACATCTAAAACTTAATTTTGTTTCTGTATAACCAGAACTTAAACCTAATCTATACACTATTTATATCATCTAAATTTTAATAAGATCTTTATTTACCACTTTGAAAATTGCATCTAAAAATCTTTGACTGAGAAATACTTTAAGAGGTGCGTCCCAAAACTTTCGAATGAAATTAGCATAATCTAAGTGTTTGTTTGTACTGACAGATGCGTGTATCAAGATCGGTAGTATTTTTACCTTATTCCGCTACTCTCTGGCAGTTCCGCATGGATTTTAAAATAATGTCTTAATTTTAAACCAAGATAGGCTTTAGTATCGAGATATATAGCGCGGCGATAAAGCTAAATATATAAGGTTATAGGTTACAATCCAGCATAGTCTCATAGTCACCACCAATACCACCCCGGATATTTACAAACCACCTAGTTTGACTGTGACTGGTAATAAGAAAGTAGAGATTGCTTGAGGCATAGTAATGAGAATTATTCACTGTTAAATTTTTGGGAAATGTAGCCTTATCTTCAAAAAGCACAAAAAAAAATGTTTAAAAAAATTGAGCGGTTTACCGATTTGATTGACCATTGACAAAAAGTAAGTTAATCTGTGCGCAATTTGAAAAAACATAACATGTGCATAACTTATTAACTATAAACGTCATTTTTAGAACAATAAAAGAAATGCAGAATAATATGACTCCACTTAATGACTGCATCCTGTATACACTTTAGTTTTGCAGACTACCAAATAATAAAGCTCACTTAGTCGCATATTCTTCGAAATTTGTTACAATAATATCTTGTACACAATAAGACAAGGCCTGAATTAAAACTGTTATACATTTTGTAATAAAAACGAAATCAAGTATCATAATAATTATCAAGAAATTAAATGACAATTGTCATATAATTAATTGTCCATAGAAATCGACCGCGAATACAATTTTTCTATTCCAATAATCCTGCAATTGGTAAAAGGTTAATATCTATTATCTATTTAAAAACATTTTAATTAAAGTAAAAAATTAAAAAACTTACGTGTGTCATCATATTTGATTGTGAACAATTCGGAGAAGCATTTGATGGTAGCGGTGTGATTGTTGGGTGTTGGCGGCCAACACACAACGCCATCAAAAGTGACTTTACAGAATCCCTCGGGATACACCTCCGACAACAAAAGAGTGTCATTAGCATATTGCGCTTTGCACTGTTCTAACGCTACATTTGTTGTGTTTAAACTATCTTCTGAAAACGAACCGTTCATATTCCGAAGTAAAAGCGAAAAGACGTAACTAAAAGCTTAAAGGTTGGTCATGTTTGCAACACGATGTTGTACCATACCATACGGGGCGGTTTTCACTTTGAACAATAATAGGCTTGTTCATCTGAAACAAAAAAAAGTAGATTAATATAGCAGTCAAAAATGTTTTCTATTGAGAACTCTCTTTTATTTTATCAAATAGGTAAAGCAGGTGAAATAAAAGTCATCATCATCATCAAAATTAGCAATGCAATCGCAAACGATGTTAAAAGCAAACTCTTTATTTCTTACGATACTCATATATTAGTATTAATATAAATTACGTAAAAAACGAAGTAAACAGTTTGACTGCTATGAGTACTACATGTGGTACTCAGTTAACTTTATGCTACAACTCTTCTAGAGCATGTTGACCCATGAGGCCACGACGATTTTTATTTATTATTTTAATTTAGGCTTCTGTAAGAGTCTGTTGGGGGTTAATTAATATCTTTTTAGCTATTTTACACTATTTTGAATTTAAGTGCCTATGTTTGATGCTCATGGCCCCGCGAGTAATGTTTTAATCAAGAGGCCATGAGCGCCACCTCTGGCACTCACAATAAAATACTGTATTCTAATATTTATCGACCTGCCTCTTCTTATAGTGCCGTCTCCCAACACAGGTTGGTAATCATAATGGCTACTTTTATTTTTAAACTTGCTCTAAACAGATCATTCGATCTGCATTGATACCCATCATGGAGATTCTTCAACCATGAGTTCTGCCTTTGGCCAACAGATCTTCTTCCTTGAATATTTCCCTGTATTATGGGTCTCAATATTTCATATTTTGGTCCTCTTATTCCGTGGCCAGTTAGGCTTTTATTACTAAAATAAATATTTCTTTTCAGCATGTTTCATATTACGGATAACTCTTGGGTTATCGTTAGGTTTCTTGAGATCGGCTTCACAATGTTCAGCCCCCCGTTAGTTTACTAGTGAATAAGTTTCATCACTGTATAATTCCCGAAATGTCACTGTGTACAGATAAGTTGATGGTACCATTTCAAGGTAGGATAAGTTTTAGGCAGTACCTGCAAAACAAAAGGCATATGTATGGGATTAAAATTTTTAAGTTGTGCACCGCCCCTTTTTATACTTTGCAATATAAAGTTTATGCTGGAAAGGAAGCCTGATCTATCCTCTAAAGTGGTTATGGAATTAATGGAGTCATATTTGGATTTTGGTAAAACACTACATGCGGACAACTGGTATAATAAATAGTGTCACTTTCGAAAAAATATTGGATCGACAATCCTTTTTGGTAGGGACGCTCCAAATCAATAGATAACGCAATCAAATTTATGTTACTAAAATAAAACTAAAAAAAGGTGATACTCTGTAATAGTTTTAAAGTGGAAGGATCGGCGAATTATGCTTGATATAAGTTCGAAGTATATTCCTTCCATGATAAATGTGACACAAAGAAGACAAGACAAACTTAAACCTCTGGTTGTAGTAGAATATAATGTAGGAAAATTCTTCATAGATTAATTGAATCAAATAAATTCGTATAATTCATTTTCAAGGAGGTTATTAAAATGGTGCCGAAAAGTTGCTTTTGATATTTTACGAAATGTTGCCGTTGTAAGTGCCTTGCTACTTTATTCTAAAGTGACAAACGAATTATTAAAAATAATACAATTTAGAGAGGAAATTATCAAATACATGATTATTAAACATGATTGTATAATGCCTGCTAATAATTTACACAATTTAGTAAAATATCCTTGCTAAGCAACAGCAGCCTCAACTTAATGCTTCGATATCGCTTTGTAAAATGTTACATTTACTCATCATAATACCGTATAACACCATACTGTTAAATGGTGTAGGAGTCTGGACCATAAAAACCAATGTGATAAACCGATTAGAGCCCTTTGAAATGTGGGTATTTAGAAGACTACTTAAAATTCCCTAGACATATCACACAACAAATGTCGAAGTATTAAATAGAATGGGCAGAGAACGAGAATTGCTGCCAATAATAAAAAGAAGAAAAACTGCTTATCTGGGTCATATATTTCGAAATTCCAAGTACCAGTTCTTAAAGCTTATTATGGAAGGGAAGATGCACTATGCACGTTTAAGAGCCACACAAGATCGAGAGGAGTATTCCAGAATTGTCGTCAACATCCACTAATTGGATAGGGCACCATAAGAAGAAGAAATCTTAAGTAACCATATTTTCTACCAAATAATTTATATTGCTTATGTATTTTCCAGTTTAAATCATATTAATTGCCTTAATCTATCATTAAACCAAACTGGAAACGAACTGGTTTTAAATTTTTTGATGGGAACAAATAAGTCAAAATCTGTATTATCATAAAATACTGATTAACTGTAATTAACATAATATATGTGTAATAAAAGTAATTCCAAATTAATACTAGTTATGATGTATGGTTAATATATATAGCCCAATGGTGTATAATATTATTAAATACTGAATTAACTGGAATAACTAAATCAACATTATTTAAATTTGCAAACACTAAGTCTAGAAAGATATTGATATTATGAGTATTAGGTAAATTATTAATTTTAAAAATGTTAAAATACCCAAAAGAATTGGCCAAGTAAACAACAGGAGAGTCATTAGGGCATTAAACATTTAAATCAAAATTATCTTTACCCCAAAAAGCGTTTGGTAAAATATAATCACTACACACACACACATATTAAACGAAAATTAACGTTATATTAAGTGATAATCTTCATGCCTTTGCAATATCATATTTGCAAATTTATCTTTAATTTTTTAGAATAAAAATGTATGTACGGTAATGATATTTTTCTGGTATCTGGGAACATTGTAGGAGATTAGAAATAATCTCTTTAATATCAAATATAATACCTTTTCGATTGTTTTTTCCTTTGAGCTATTATATCCTGTTTTCCTTTTTGTGGATTTTAGAAAAACAAACATATATCCCAAAATCGGTTTTTCACTGCTTACAAATAACTTATTCTTTTTGAATGACAAAGAAAATGTGTTATTTGCTTTTATGAAACCAATATCTTTGTTTTTTTTTCTTTCCGCTCAGACGATAAAACAATAAAATCTTTAAGCTTTCTTATATCCCGCATTATAAAAGCTTATATTTATAAGTTGTAAGGTAATATTTTATTTTTAATCAAAACAATCTTAAAGATTTGAACTATCATTGTAGATATCTCATCTATTTTCTTATTATGTTAGCTTCAGTGTGAATTATGAACAAAAATTCGAACTAATACCAAATAGAAAATAAAATAAATATGTGCTTTTTGATTCCGAGTGTGTACTTGAACGAGGTAACATCGCATCAGTGTTTTATTCCTCACTTTAGTGCTTTTTGTGCAATCTAACAACTACTTTTAAACACTAGTAAGACCAGACTTTACCGTATGTATTGATAATCCTAATTGCATGTTTGTTTTTTTTTGAGCGATTAGTTAATTAGCAAATTAATAATTTCTTCAAAACTGGGAAAATTTCCAGTGACGTAGGCCTACCTAATATGTATTTTTGGAAGAAAATACATAAAACCTAGCTTAATTTAACAGGCAATTAAATTTTCGTCTACCTTTGACTACAAGGGTACCGATAACAAATCCAGTTCTCACATCAGATCCTCACAGTTTACAACTTTTCAAGATGTCACAAACTATTTAGCATAAATCTACTTCAATTTCCTCATACGCAGCTGCAACCAAATAAACTCCTAGATCAACTTTTCCAAAGAGGGATCAAGCCATAATATTGCATGCCGATGAAAATCTAAAATTGTTCGATTACGTAAGCAGTAGGTGACGCTATTGGTCCCAAACAAATCCTATTTATATTTATATAAATATAAATATAAATAAATATATATAGTATATATTAAACTAACTCAGAACTCGTCGAGTTTGTATAACGACGCTAAGAATACAATTCTTTGGAGGTAACTTTCGGGAAAGCGTCAAAAACAAGGATCAGCTAGAAATGGTATAAGCCAGTTTGGTGTAGAACTTTATTCTAAATGTGAAATTTTCGGTTATATGTTGTCACCTTCATCAGCACCTAAATGGAAAACCTATTTTAGTACAAGTGGTGGAAATTAACATTTAAAACCCACATTGAAAATGTTCAGTTGGTCCTAGAAGTGAAGAACACCGTCACAAACATGTTAAAAATATTAAAAAATACATTTAAAATTTTGAATAAAAACATTACAACACAACAGGGTATTATTTAAAATACAAACACAACAAAAATCTAAAAATTACAACCTACAAAAACTGCAACTTCATGTTAAAGGTAGAAAAGAAGAATTATTCTTCTTTTTTGATGACATATTTCTGACTTCTGTCAATATCCGGGTGTCATATGCAACGAGGTTATAATTTTCACGTTAGAACCTCATGGATATGTAAAGAAAGAACCCCAGGAAACACAATCACCAGGGAAATGAAGTCTTTTCTCAAGTACAGATAGGCAATCTATGCATGTTATGATTAGTTCCCTACATTCTCTAGTTTGTTACATCTTGTCAAGTCCTGTTGAAGTAGAAAGGAATAAATAAAACTCAAGTTTTTAACATCTTTCTTACAGTTCATAGAAGAACTGCAGTTATGGATGTAGCAAATTTCTATGAAATTTCTCTTAAATTGGTTGTCAACCCTCTTTAGTACTTGCACATTTTCATAGTTAGCAATGTGTCCAGTATTCTTAATATGTTGGCTAAAGGCTGTGCAAGTGGGCTTCCTCACTACATCACTAATGTGCAAAGCTAGTCTTTTTGAGAGTTTCTGGCTGGTTTGACCGACATACACTTCTGAACAGGAACCACATGGAATAGAATACACTACATTGAAGTTATCCAGTTTTTTAACTCTTTCTGTCAGGTGAGTAAAGTATGTCCCTAATCTTTTGTACACTGAATTTGCTATCACTATGTTGAACTGTCTGAAAAGTTTTGTGATCTGTGGTG